CAGTTTCAAAACCAATTAGGACAGTTTCAATAATTAATGCATTGCATATTGTTGTCTACATAGTGGTTATTCATAGCACAAGATGCAGACATGATATCCTGTCCCAACACTGTTAGTATAAATCTTTCTTCTCATTGAATTAAGAGAAAGGAGCTGTATATATATAAATGAAGGACCATTTTGTCCTTCATTTATATCCCTTTTGTTTAGTTTTGTCAGAGATGGGTAAAATTAGTGTTTTTATGCATGCTCTTCACTAGATATGGTGGTGCACACCTTTAATCCCAGCACTTAGGAGGCTGAGGCAGAACAATGCCCTGAGTTCAAGGCCCACAGCTTGGGCTACAGAGTGAGTTCAAAGCCAGCCTAAACTATAGCGAGACACTACCTCAAAACACCAAAAAATAATAACAAAAGAAACAAAAAAGAAGACAGTCTTCCACTACAGGATCATGATATGCCTTCCATTTACACCACCCTATTTGTTCTCTGCTATATTTTCTACTTTTCTATCCACCGTACTACGTATTTTTGAAGTTTATTAAAACATACTTAATTTCAGTTAAAGTTTGGCAGTGAATCTAGTTTGTTTTTGTATTATTTTCTAACTAGGTTCTGTCTTCTTGATGTTTATGAAGGCTACCAAAATATCAACAGCTGGGGAGGCTGAAAGCAGGAGGAGCACTACGAGTCTGAGCTGCACAGTGAGACCCTGCACCAAATACATAAAATAAATAAACAAATAAAACAAAATATCAACAACTGATGGCAAGCAACATAGTTTCTAATGGCTTTGCGGGGAGGGGGCTGGTACTTCTTCTGAGCCTGACACTCTACTAAGCATTGTATTAAAATTCACATTTAATCCTTCAATGAATCCCAGAAGGCAGATAACATCCCTACAAAGGAGGAAATGGTCTTAGAGATTATCCAATATCATAAAACTTGAAAGTGAAAATTAAATGCTAATAGGGTTGACACAGACTTTATTTTTTTTTTTTTTTAAACTTACTCAGCCGGCCCTGAGGGTGGGGCTGGTGGAGTATGTGGTGCCCGGGATCAAACCCTGTCCCCTGCACCTAAGTTTGCCTAAGCAGGTGCTTTAGACCACTGAACTATCTCGCCGGACCCAACATAGACATTTGATATGTTAAAAAAAACCCTCCCAAAATATTTAACTATTATTACTATAGGTCTGAAGAAAACAGGACAGAAAACCTCCTCGCCCTGTCTCCTTACACACATACCATGCATGACAGGTGACTCTCAGCTCGTCTGTTGTGACTGTCAACTAATACTCACTTTAAAAAAAAAAAAAAAACAAAACCATTTTGAGGTCATTCTAAAACAGGAGCAACATCTTTTTTTAGGTATCTCAGGGACCTCACACTCCAAACTCTAATTGTTTCTTCTTCATAATATGTCCTATTACTAACTGTTAACTTTCCCCATGCCTACAACATATATATCTCCAATGTTTATTTTCTCATCTACTCCATGTGGAACAGAGAATCCAAGGCTGCCTTCTGCCCACACTGTCAGGCTTTGGAGAAGAGACCACCAGACTAAGGAGACTCCCAGGACTTTTACATTAAAAATCATCAACCTACCAATTTGGTTTGAAACTGTCTCATTGCTATTTGTTTCTCAATAAAATTATGGGGGAAAAAAAAGGATTATAAACTGATTCCAAATACTAAAAAAAAAAATCATCAACCATAAACAGATCCTCACTGACGTCCAACACAATATCCTGGCTTTCCTCCTACTTCCTGACCTGGGGCCTCTTCCATACCCTCTGGGTAATCTCATCTAATCCTCAGCATTCAGAAGTTGTGGCTGGGATCTCTATTCCAAATTTCACATCTGAATAGCCAATGACCTACTGCCCAGTTCTACTTGTCTGGCAGATCCTCAAATGCCATAAGAAGGAATACCAACCTAAGGCGATGGGTCACTCATCTCATCAGTGATGGAGTACTACCCACCTGTTTTATAAACCCTGCCAATACCTCCATGACATCTAAGTTCCCTCCCTCCGTCACTGGCCTGGTCACTGTAGGCCACAGTCTGGAGTGGATTGCTACAGATGACTTTACAACTCATTTCCCAACCTCCAGGCCTGCCCCTTTCAGCACATTCTCCACCCTGCAGCTTCACACGTGCTGTTCTCTTGCTCTAAGATCTTTCAAAGAAACAAGGCTTGCTTTCATTTCTAAATACAGTTGTACAGCTATAGATCTGTTCCAATCTTGTTTATTTTACATTTAAATGTTTTCTGCTTTTCTTATATTCTACTAATTCTTAAAGTGCTCAGATAATAATTATATCTGGTTACCACATATTTGTCACTGACTTTAGGCCTTCTTCTAAATGTTCAGCGTATTATCTCAATACGCCTTCATTACTCAATAAGGTAAATGTAACTATTCTTACTTTACAGATAAATACACTGAGACTTAAAGAGTGGGTAATTATACCCAGTAACAAAACTAGGAGAGGTAATATATGACGCTAGATTTCTCAGACTGGAGAATGCTGCTCTTAATTAATATTATGCAAGACTGGTTGGGGGAGATAGCTCAATAGATTAAGCACCTGCCTAGCATGTGCAAAGCCCCAAGTTCGATAATCAGTGCAGAAAGGAAAAAAATTACAGAACACCATGAACTTTGCTTAATTCCGGACCATTGGTTTTAAGTTGTAAGTTTTGGATTACAGCAATCTTGGACTTTTTTTTAAAGAAAATATAACTGCAGTTTTCTTTCCCCAAATAAATTTAAGAGCATAATTATGAATTCCCAAGGTGTTTTAAAAAAAAATACCTAGAATTATGAGTGCATAGTTTCTATCATTGTCAAATAAGGTGGCTTGTTTAATTTCTACTGTGTACACGGATGTCACTTTTCCTTGTGCACAACCCATACAAGTGGAAGCGAACCACTGCAGTGCTGGGCCACTCTAGCCCTACCTAGACCATCCCGGCCAGGCTCTCGGCGAGCGCCCAGACGCAGCCGGCACTCCGCAGGGGCGCACGAGGCCGGGGCTCAAGGCGACGGGCAATCCCGCCACCTCTTTCCATGTCAACTCGGTGCTCACCTTCCAGACCGCTTATACTCCTTCTTGTAGGGCCTCTCCAGAGACGGTGATCTTCGGCTGTCGCGGTGCCTGTGTCTCTCTCGCTCCCGCTCTCTTAAAGGAATTAATACACAGAGCTGTTTTCAACAGAAAGGCTCAAAAGCACCATCTCTTCACTGAATTTATTTCCTAAATAAATAGACCATATCTAAGAAGTCTTCAGGCACTATTCACTAGGGGACAGATTTATTCCTTCTTAATTTATTAGGGGATAAAAGAGCTTTTCTCCTTACAGAAGTTAACTAGCTTGGACAGTTTTTGCTGTTTTCTTTAGAGAAAGAAGTCAAACTTGATGTTAAGCAATAAAGGGAATTTTATCACAACCTTCTCTCAAAACCTTCCAACCAGCCAATCTTTGATTACTTAAACTACAGCAAATATTTTAAAGGTCTCTCCTGTTTATTGATTTCTAGAAAACGCTATTCATCCATCAAGTAAATATACATTCAAGCTTTTAAATCAGGACAAGATTCTAAAATGCAAGACACGCTTATGCATTACAGGCCAGGTTGCAGTTTTAGCTGTCACCAAACTGCAATGCAAGTCATTTGAACACTATTTTTACCTGGAAAAAAAAAACCTGACTGTAGATGCTGAGTTTCCCCAGTGTAGACTGGCATAAGGGAAGGCTTACTGGAGTAAAGCTTGCAATGTAAAACTGGAAAATAAGAATAACAGTTTCCCTACTTGCTACACCTGCCCTACCCCTGAGCCCGCTGAGCCGACCACCGAGATAGGGCATGGTGGTGCACACCTGTAATCCCAGTGCTGGGTCGGCTGAAAACAGGAGAATCACTACTAGTCCAAGCTGTGCAGTGAGACCCTGTAGCAAATACATAAAAAAAGAAAAAAAGAGAAAAACAATAGTAGCTTCAGATAAGGGTGGTGGTTTATACCTGCAATCCCAGCACTCAGGTGGCTGAGGCAGTAGGCCTACCATGAGTTTGAGGCAAGCCTGGGCTACATAAGCAAGTTCAAGGCCAGCCCGCACTACACAGTAAGAGCCTGCTTCAAAAATAAATAAATAAATAAAAAATAAACTAATATGCTGGTGTGGTAGCATGCCTGTAATCCCAGCATTCAAGGAGGCTGAAGCAGAAGGACCACTGTAAGTTCCAGACCAGACTGAGCTATGCAGTGGGTTTAAAGCCAGCCAGAATTATAGACCCTATTTCAAAAAACTAAATAATAACAACAGTTGCTGAGTCTATTTAATAATATAATGAATACCTGAAACAAAAAGGTAAATGCAATTGTGTTTGTATCAGTACTACAAATTAAGAGGAATAACCAGGCAGTATTAGAATTGGCGGGAAATATTATACAGGTTAAGTATTACTTATGTAAATGCAGGGAACAGAAGTGTTTCCAATTTCAAAGTTTTTTGGGCTTTGGCACATTTGCATAAGCTTTATCTTCTAGGTATCCCTAAAATGAAAATCTGAAATGTTCAAAAATCTGAAGCTATTTATGTATTACACAGGCACTCAAAAAGTTTTAAAGAATATTTTGGATGTGGATTTTTCAGATTAGAGATGAGCAAGAAGACTATAAAATGTCTAAACTCAAAATTATCCCCCTTTTAACCAGCCATAGTGGCACACACCTACATCTTAGTGAGCACTCTAGAGGCTGAGGAGGAGGACCACCAGTTTGAGGCCAGCTAGGGCTACATTCACAACCAGCCTGGGCTACATAGTAAGATCCTGTCTTAAAAAAGAAAAACAAAAACAGAAAAAAGTAAACAACTTATATCCAAATAGAAGAATTGTCAATACATTAAAATCAAAACTTATAAATCTATTCGGAATCAGTAACTGCTTAGAAGTTAAGAGATGAAAAACTATTTTCACCTAAAGATTACTACTCTCACAAAAAGCCCCATAATTAATGTAATCATTACATACTTCAAACATGCATTAATAAAAAAAAATTTCAACTAAAAAAAGATTCCTTTGAATAATATGTTCTTGATATATACACAGTCCTCCAGTACACACTAGCTGTCCAAAATAAGTTTTACCCAGAGTTGGGAGTCTACATTCTTCCTCTACTATATTCCTAAAATTCTAGTTTACATTTAGGTAGTAAACTTCTGCCGCAGATCGGGTCCAGGAACGAGCAATCATAAGGAAGTAAATGTGGCAATATGCCCAGCTTCCTTGACCTGCAGTCTGAGCAAGGGGCTCCACTGCATTCCCAGGGCTTGTGCAAAGAGCTCAGCAGCATTCCCAGGGCTCTGGAATGTGTGGTCTCCAGTCTATCAGCTTGGCCTCGGAAGGCTAGTCCCTTCCCAGGGGAACAGGGAAGGCTCGGCGTTAACGAGGGCACATGTTCAGAACTTTCTGTATCTAAACTTGGAACCAATAAACACGGTTCCTGAGCTGAGTCGAGCCAAGCCGAGCCAGCAGCTTGGTCCTCCTGACCCCAGGTTTCTTTCTTTCTCATTCCCTCTTCCTTCTACCGGGTTCCCCTCTGCAAGGGCCAGATCCCCACAAATTTCAATTATGAAACTTAGTGAATGGTGCCACATGTCAACAATCTGATATGATTGTAACGACAGGACTGCTAACTGCCTATACTTCCAAATACAAATTCTAATTAGAGGATACTCCTGAAAGAACAAACTTCATTTGTTCTTTATACCTAGACAATAGGACTTTGCACTTAAGAACAAAATGTTTGGCAGACAAGACACATGCCTATAATCTCAGCTATTGAAGAGGATGAGGTGAAAGAGTCAAGAGTTTAAGGCCAGCCTGGACAATTTAGTGAGTCCCCATCTCAAAGGGTGGGACATTGCTCAGTGGGGGAGTACACGCCTAGCTACAAAAGACCCTGAGTCACCAAAATACCAACGGTACCACTTTCAACCATAATTGCTGCCTCAGTGTTGGTAGGAATGGAAAAGACTAATTTGGATGTCAATTACATGACTATCACTATGAATCGAATCCAAAGCCAGAAATACTATCTTGGTGTCACTTTTCTCAGGTTTCATCCTTTCCTAAAGGCATTCAGACGTGCCTCAGGTCCATCGTGCTGGCCTTCCAGCAGCTCCACAGCGGCTGTCACCAGGACAGCCATGGACACGGAAAACGCCAAGGCTGGCATCGCTCCTGGGCAAAGCCCAGCACCGCTCCTCACCACGCTGCGCAACAGGGTGCTGCCTGCTCCTGCCGCCCCTAGGGCACCCCAGGTCTCTCATGGGAGCAAACACACACACACTCACCTCACCTCCTCTCGAGTCTTCTCTAGCCAGTTTCCCCCAAAGCAGTCTCCCAACTGTCACCTAATCGTATGTGGCAGAGGAGAAAAAGAAGATGGAATGTGTAAAAAGATGGATTTGCTTGCACCAGGAAGCAAGGAGAGGAGTGAAGGACAGACGAAGAGCATGCGCTAGTACGCACAATCTAATGGGCCAAGCCGTCACGCGTCGGCCTTCCCAGTACTTTTGGCAGTTCTGTTAGAACTTTGCCTGCCCTGTATTTGCTTACAATACAGCTGGGTCACCAAGCCAGCTCAGGGCAGATGTCCTAGGCATATTTATTATTATTAAAAAAAAAATTCCATTACAATTAAATGCCATTTGAGAAAAGACATCCTTCACAGTGCAGGAGTGTGGCTCAGAATAACAAACTGCTGCATTCAACGGCACCTTCTGGTAAATCCTCAGTATACAGCACATCTGAGATTTGTCACAGAGCTTAAAATTTAAGCCTGGCTGGAAAAGTTAAGATTTACACCAGCACCCTGACAACCCCTGTAATGAGAACACCTCAAAATGGAGGGGGGAGGATACTATGTATCTACTACTATGTAGAATATCTACAGCAAACTGTTTTCCCCAAGATATGAATTAACAAGCAGTTTAATGCCTAAAGAAAACTAGTTACAAATGCTTTCAATTTTCTATTTTCATCATAAAACTGTAAAACAAGCTGTCAAAGGCCTCCAGCAACCCGTCCATCACAGAATACTAACAACAGAAATAATAGTTGATGCTGGAAGATTTTTCAGTCTTGGTAGGTTCTCACTCAGCCCTAACCCCTAAGAAATGAGTCACCTCACAAGAACTAGGCTCCCTTCCACCTTCCTTAGGCCCGGTACTTCCCTTTCAAGCCTTCAGAGGAACAGTCACTCTCTTCCAGGCAGAACACAACCGCTATCCTTTCTGTACCGGGCAGAGCTCCAGGCAGAAGTACTGACTGAGCCTGATGCAAGAGTGAAACAAGACACAAGCAGCACCCGTACCCAGCTGTGGCCCACAGCAGGCCTACTCCAGGGAGCACAAGTGCGGCTCAACAGCCTTGCCACAGGGGAGAGGTCCTGCTGCGAAGCTGACAACTGGAGGCCTCAAGTCTTCAGGGACAGAAGGTTCACGAACAGCATGAGTACGCTACAGCGATCGTGTGACTTCTGCCTTTTTCGTATAAGCCAAAGGTTCTGACCTTTTTGAGGCCACCAGCTCACACCCACCTCTGAAGATCTATCGCAAGCTCCCAGAGGAACACACACAGAACTGTGAACCTGTGCAAGTGACTTCAGGGTATTTCTAGAAGCCCCCGCCTACAGTGCTCAGCACCTCTTCCATGCAACAAAATCAGACTAAAAGTTATTTGGAAAACTGTAACTTTGTTACCATGGAACTAGTAACTTCATTTTACAAAGAAACTAAGCAAACAGGCAACAATGTATAAACTTCCAGGTCCCCTAAAAATCAGAGAGCAAGCTTTGCTTGTGAACTACTAGTTTGATTCCTGAAAACATATCCCTGTCACTAACTCAAAGACAACTCAAGGACAAACCAGAGAGCTCAGCGGACAGAAGCGCCTGCTTAGGCACACACAGGGACCCAATCCTCAGAGAGAAGCGATGGCCCCGCCCATAGGATGCACTGAGACAGCGATTGAGACTGGGTGTGGTGGCATGCACCTGTAATCCCAGCGTTTGGGAGGCTGAAAACTGGAGGAGCACTACAAGTCTGATCTATGTAGTGAGTCAGTAGACGCTGTACCAAATGCATTAAAAAAAAACAAAAAAATTGAAATGCTGTACTCTGCTGACTGCACTGAACCAAGTGAAATTTCTGATAACACTGAAATAATGTAAGACCTTTCATGTCATGCGACGGTCATCACTACGTCAACTGTATTTTGCAGAGTAATAGGTTTATATAATTGACCAACACTGGTAATTTTGGAAAGCTTCTCCAGGACTTTTTTCTTGCCATCAGCTTCTTTACATGTCAGTTCTGCCTTTCTCCTGAAAACTGGGACCAAAATGCTATCTCCTTCCTTTCCCAGGGAGAAGCGCAGGATCTGTTCACCTGTCGGAAGGATTTTTTCTTTTTTTGGCTGGCTCAGAATGCCTTCAGGGCAGGTTTGGCTGGCTTGAGTTCTGGGGATGAACCACAGCAACCTGAGCCTGACTGCTTTGTTGAAGCAGCCACTTAACTGAACTAAGGGGCAGGCCCACCTAAATGGCAGGATTTGGGGGGGGGCTCCGAACGCCTTCGGGGCAGGTTTGGCTGGCTCAAGTGTTGCCCTGTCGTGCATGTGAGTGGGCGTGGTCTAGGTCTGGCCTCTGCTGTCCGACCCAGGGCTGCCCCATGGGCTCACCTACTGCGCTCGTAGCTGCGGTGGCGGGACGGAGTCCTGCCGCGCTCGTAATCCGTGCGGTAGCGGCTGTCGGGTCTCCTCCGGTCTGGGCTGCGGCCCCGCTCGCGCCGATCCAGGGACCGATGCCGCTCACCTCGCCCATGGCTGTGATCTCTGTGATCTCGGTGCCGGTGATCATCATAGTGCTTAAGCCTCTCTGGGGACCTCCGCTCACTGGGAGCCTTTGGCAGTGGGTACGGAGGGAGATGCCTAAAATGTGGGCTGCTGCTGTTGGTAGCACTGGGTTGGAAAGAACTGGGATTGTTCTGGAAACTGTTGAAATTAGGAGGTGGAAAATTGTGGTGTGAGTACCCTGGCGGGTACTGATAATTCACTTGCTGCGGCAGGACTGGAGGGGGCGGAGGGTGGGGCATGGAAGGCGGGGGCACCATAAAGGGAAACGTGCCTTGTCCAGGAGGCGCACCGGGGACTGGGGGGTTATTAGGACAAGGCATCGGTGGGGGCATGGGTGGGAAGCAGGGTGGCACTGGGAAGGGGTGCCTCATCTGGTGGCTGGGGAAAGGGGGCCTGACAGGGCACGGGGGCAGAGGGCCTTGTGCTGAGGGAGGCATGGGTGGAGGGAAGGGTACAAAGTCTGGTCGCGGGGGCAGAAAATTGGGTGCTGGAGAGTTGGAGAAGCTGGTCGAAGGCGCACTTGGCGGTTCATACTGATACTGCACAGGAGGCTGCTGAGGATGAAGCAGCCGCAGGTTTTGGGGTCTGAAGGCCGGTGCGGAGGGTCTGGCTCCATGTCCTCCTCGCCCTCGGGGACACCCTCGTCCTGGGTGGAAGGACATTCTGTGACTTTGCACGAGGAAAGAAAAGGGAAAAGTTTAAAACAATAAAGCGTACCAAACCTCGGTGTACAAGCGGGGCTTGCTAAATGCCTTCCCATGGAACAGACCCCTGGGGCCACTGGAATATCCAACACTAACTCTGAGTTCTAACACTTCATGATCAATAGACTCTTCCCTGTCTCACCCAACCCACTGCCGTGGCTGTCCCAGGACCCTGTCCACCTCCAAAATGACAACTTCAATGTCCGTCGCTCGAACACCTGCCAAAACATCCATGTTCAAATTCCGCTCTGATCATCACCCCTCTGTACTGCCCCTCCCAGCAGCATTAAGTACTGCATGCTCATGGATGGTGCCCCTGGAGCTCCTGCCCCACCCACGTGCTTGTTCCCTACACTGCCCCAGCACCTTCCCATCTGCACCTGCCTCCCCATGAAGTGGACTCCATGGCCCAGCACCCCAGCAACTTGCTTTTTATGGGACATAGACTGACCACTCTGCCCCACTCTTCCTGGATCCCAAAACCCTGGCAGGGCCGAGCCTTGGACTGACCCACCAATTCATTTCCGACAGGCCAGCCAGAAAGGATCCCACCAAAAGACACCCACGCTGGCAGACTGGTGCCTGTATAAATTCAATCACAGGTTCTGCCACAAGGTCCAGGCCCACTGCAACAGCCAGTTTAGTCGTCTTCCGTCACTGCCATCGCGACGCCTTGGAGGCCCCCTTCCTGACACTCCTAACCCTCTTCACAGTCAACAGCAACCTGTTTGCTATCAAATGGAAATGCTAACACATCAGAAGGGAACTAACCCAGTTTGTGCTGCCAAGCCGACAAACCTATCTGCAGCCAGCTCTGTCCTCTCCCAGCAAAGGCTCCCTCCCCCTGCTCTCCGGATCCTTTTCACAAACCTACACTTGGGATTGGCACCTCTCCCGCCACATTCCACCTCCTCACACCACTGGACCCTTCAGATGAACATTTCAAATGCTCAGGTCTTTCAACATGAAAAGCTGCGCTTGGCCTCCTGCTCTTTCTCCACTTCGCATTTTCCTTCTCCTCTGGGACCCAACAGCTGCCACTGACTAAATGTTGTGTCCCACCAAATCCACATGCTGAAGCCACCAAATCCACTTGCTAAAGCCTAGTGTGATGCTATAGGAGGTAAGGGCTCTGAAGTAATCAGGGTGACAAGAGGTTCTAAGGCATTCTCGTGAGAGGACAGCATCTTTATGAAAACAGAAAGAGATGGGAGAGCTCTGTGGCAGGTGAGGACACAGGAAGAAGGCAGCCACCTCCAAGCAAGAAGAGGGCCCTCCCCATGGAAAAGAACCCAGCCTTCTGGGACCCGGGTCTGACTTCCAGCCACCACAAAATGTAAGATGGGCCAATGACATAGCTCAGGGGACAAAAAGCACCCACTTAGCCAAGCACAGGGACCACAGTTCAATCCCCAGCACCACATGCCATGTCTGCCCTGCCCCCAGGGCCTCCTGAGCCAGCCACCAAAAAAAAAAAAAAGAGAAATGTCAGCTGTTTAGACCAGCAGGGCTATGACACCGTGTCTAACAGCCCAAACTAAGACAAAAGTGTAGTTATTCCCCAGTACTCAAGATTGATGCCATGACCCTCCATATAGACTGCAAGGATGCTCAATATAAGGCGTATAAAATGGCACAATGTTTGCAGAAAATCTGTGTACACACTCCCACATACTTTAAACCATGGGCTGGGGGTCTATCTCTGTGACACAGTGTGTGTAGCTTCTATCAGGCCCTGGGGTAAATTCTCAGCACCAAAAAAAGAAAAAAATCTAAAGTATACATAATATCTTAAAATAATGTAAAGGCTATATAAGTAGGGTTGTGCTATGTTGTAGGGAATAACAACAAGACAAAAAAAAAAATCTAGCCATGTTCCATACCGACACAACCATCATAGGGCCACGACACAGTGTACAAACAAGATGCGACAGTCATACAAGCAGTGTACCGGGCGGAGTACTGGGGGTCTGCGGAGCACCGAAACATCCAGCGCGGCCGCGGCCCATCAGTTCCCTCGCAGGGACTCACAAGGCCCAGTGCCTTGAGAATCGACGGCCATTTTCACTCATACTCCTGGACTCTTGTGCAGCACTCAGTCCAGCTGCCCCAGCCCTTACAGTGGCTCTCTTCGGCTTCTGGACCCAACCTCCCCCTGCCACGCGCTCCCCAGTCACTCCTGTGCCTGCTCCTCCTCTGCTGGAACTTCAACCCTTCGCTTGCTCCAGGACTCGCCCTGGTACTCTGTTTGCCCCCACCCCGGGGGCCCCACCCACTCACTCCTGCCCTGCATCCTCATCTCCCAGGGCTCCGAGTTCATGTACCAACTTCGGTGCTCCACCCACACTGGCAGCTCGCAGCTGGGCCTCTCCTTCAACACCTCCCTGACTCCACCAATGCAACTGAACATGTGAATGACCTCTCTTCCAGGACAGCACTACGTCCCCCTTCCTAGCATGTACTGTAAAGACAGATAACACAGAATCACCTGACCACTTTCCTCCCGAGCCCCATTGAGCAAAAAATTTATTGTAACATTCTTATTATTTATAGAACTATATAACAGTAAAAAACATTTTTTAAAAATAAAATTCAAGGGCCAGCCAAATAGCTCAGTGGATTAAAGCGCCTGCAAGCAGGTGCAGAGGCTGGGGGTTCAATCCCAGGCTTGCCAAGCCAGTCCTGCCCCCGGGGCATGTTGAGACAGTGATTGAGACTGGGTGTGGTGGCCCACACCTATAATCCCAGCTCTTGGGAGGCTCTAAACAGGTGGATCACTGCGAGTCCAATCTAGTAGTGAGAACCTGAACATCCTGTAGACCCTTCCCTAAAATACAAAAACAAATAAATAAAACAAACTCACACTTTTTATTTGTTTTTATTTATTTTTTAGATAAGGTCTCTCCCTATGCAATACAGACCGGCCTTGAACTATGTAGTCTAGGTTGGCCTTGAACTCATGGTACTCCTTCTGCTCAGTCTCCCAAAGGCTGAGTATTTGTGTTTCTAAACTTTCCCAATTCATCTACTTCTCCCTACCTTGCCTGGCTACTAAAAAAAAAATTCCTGCTCACCTCTGGAGGGCCTGCTCCACTGCCCCAGGCCCTCACTTCCCTCTCTCACAACACCCCAATGTAATCCTACAACACAGCAATATGTGTTCCTCCAGCAGATACAACAGTAATCACAATCCACCAAGGCCCACAATTCCACCTTCGCTGTCTCCCTGCACATCAGAGCTGTAAGGTTCATCGAGGGAGGGATCCGGTAACATTCTATTAACAGATGTGGTCTGAGTTCCAGCCCCGTACATGAACCTCTGTTGCACTGTACCTACTGTTGAAGGAACAAACGCGATTCCCTTCCCTCCCTGCACGCCCTCCACCCTCCCCACCACCGCCCCAGCATGAGTCTCACTTCCTCTCTGCTCTCCCCAAGGGCCACCATTCCCAAAACTCACCATGTATTGCCTTGCATCGCAATGCACTGTCAGGGGATGTCACACCTCCCACACTGAATACACGTTCTAAAGGACAGGAAGAATGAAATGGACATAAAAAGGTTTTCCAAACTGCCAATACTACGAAGTATTTCTGCCCTTAATGCTGATTTTTGCATTTTCCATAGCACTTAGCTTACTAGCAAAATTAAGACATTAAACTGCATTCAAGTTTCCAACTAAATTTTAAGATGTTTTTATTGTACGTCTCTGATTCCAAATTATCAATAACTAAAAGTCTAAAAAACAGGCATAAGCTATTCCCATTATGTACAAGACAGGGCAAGAAATCTCTGCATCTCTCAAACACATGTAAGATTCCCTTCTTTGAAAAATAAGGCAGATGTGGGCCAAAATCAAACACCACAATGAGACCAGGATTCACATTCAAATATAACTAAGATCTTGTTAATGCAACACTGATGATTCCTTATTTTCACTTTCAATTCATTCCATAGACCTCTGAACACAAATGACTTTCTAGCCAGGCGTGGTGGCGCATGCCTGTAAGCCCAGCACTTGGGAGCCTGAAGCAGGAGGATCATCACAAGTTCAAGTTCAGCCGGGGCTACATAGTGAATTCAAGTCCGGCCCAAACCACACAAAATGAACTATATCTTGAGAAGCTGCCTTAAAAAAAAAACATAAACAACATCCTAAATACCTGAACCTCTCCAAAGTACTTTTTAAAAAAAATTAAATAACTATTACCCTAAAACTCTCATTCAGAAACACCTTTCTAAAGTCTTTCTAAGTTTACGGGTAAACTTAAAATTAGACTTCCAAGTGGCTCTCAAAAATAACTGCAGATTATTGATCTGTATCAATCACTGTGCTTAATATATGAGGGTATCAAACAATAAGACTAATAATCATTCCAGTACCCTCAGGATAAATCTGGGGCCCAGACAGCTGATCTTGCCATCACAGGCTACTCAGGCCAAAAGAATCAAGCTCACTCTGACACTGAAGACTCCACAGAATGTTAACCCAACATCTCCCTCCAGGCTTATCCTGTTATCCTCCCCCAGGCCCTTTTTCTATCCCAGTCTCTTCGTGTATACTTGGCACACTGAGGACCATCACTCAACTTGCTCTTTGCACCCACTTCCCAACCTCCTACCCTAGGAATTTGTCTGGTGAATTTCTACCCAGCCATCTCCCTCCGGGAAGCGATCCCATGCCCTCTAGGCTTCTGTCACTTAGTACTTCTCCTCCTCCTCCTCCTCCTCCTCCTCCTTCAGCACTTACCAGAGAGCAGCTCATACTGTAGTCACATGTGTTCATGTTGGACTCTTCCACTGGATCAACTCCTCAAAGACACAGGTTGATTCACAGTCGTTCCCGTATCCTGCACAGTCCCTGGCAGGGCTTCCTGTACAGTAGATGATCAATAAACCTTACTGTCTCACCAATGCTATGCATTTCTCGGGCACAAGTGCACATTTCTCTTCCACCTATATCAAGAGAACTGCATTATCAAAACCATGGAGAGGGGACAACCCTGCAAAGCAATCTTTTCACTGATCCACGCATCATTTAATGAGCCTATACCTCTGGGACACTGGCCAGGCCCCGTGTATTCAACGATGAGAAAGGCGCACAGCCTCCAGGACTCAGGGAACTCAAAAACCCAAATTCTAAACTCAGGCGTTTTTTAAAAATAAAATACACCAGGCTGGTGAGATAGCTCTGTGGACTAAGTTCCGGGTCAGGCAAGTGCAGTGACTAGGGTTTGATTCCTGGTAGAACCACATGCTGTGCCGGTCCAGCCACCACCACCACCCCCCCACCACGCTAAGTCCAGGTTTGGTGGCCCAAGCCTGCTACTGCAGCGCTGGGGAGGCTAAAAACAGGAGGCTCACAACCAGTCTGAGCTGTGTCTTGAAAGCCTGCACCAAATACAAATAAAATATACCAGCCAGGTGTGATGTGCTCCTGTAATCCCAGACCAAGGTATGAAGATCACAAGTTCAAGCCCAACCTGGGCAACTTTGACCTTGTCTGAAAATAGAAATAAATTTCAAAATCTGGGATGTAAATCAGTGTCAAGGTCTTCAGTTCAGCCTTGGGGGGTGAGGGCAAGGATCTCCAACACCAGAAAGAAAAACAAAAAAAAATAGTATAATGCAATTAAGTGCAAGAAAGGGGGCAAGTACAGGGTCTAAAGTATCATGAAAGTGCATAAGTTACAGGACAACAGTCAGGATCATTAACTGTCCTGTGCAACTTGTAACAACGGAACACTCACTATCAGACGCTCCTAAAAGTGTCCATAGTCAAAAAACCCGACCATAAAGTTAGTCTACTAAAGTTGCAGCCAGGCTGTGATGTGGGTGCAAATTGTAACTCAAAACTCAAAGAATTCGCTGCAACTGGAAAGTAACTGTTTGGCTAGCTGTTTGGGAGCAGGTAAAGCGAGGGAGCTGCTCCGAAGTTAACGCGTGCAGGGACGTGCGCCAACGCACCCAGAGCTGCAAAGCGCGACCGCGGTTTTACTGAGAGCCCCCTCTCCCCCGGAGGATGTGCAGCGCAGCCCCCGTCACCAGGCCGACCCGCGATTGTTTCCCGGTCGCATCTCCCGCCAGACCGAGGGCCCCACGAGCCCAGCGCGGGCTCTGCTCTCGCGCCTCTCGGGTGTCCCGGACGCCAGGCCCGGGCCGTCCGTGCGCCGCACGAATGAATGAAAGGCCCCTTTCCCGCCTCCGTCCACCTGCGGGCTCCGGGCCCGGGGTCGCTCTCCGGCCCCAGCCGCAGCTCCGGAGCGGGGCTGTCGGACCCCAGCCCTCGGGCGCCCTTCGCGCAGCAGCGGACCCCACCTCCTTCAAACCCCGACCCTCGGAAACACTCCTCCTTCCCACTCCCACGGAGTACCACTTTTACCTGCAAAGGGCCTTCAGGTAGCCGTCAAAATAAAGCGAGGGTAACGCTACAGCCGCCGAAACGCTAGCTCCGCCCGCGCCTCCGGAACAGGAAGCCGACGGAATTAAGAAGCCGACGTGAGAAAGCTGCGGCTCAAGGAGGGAAAACTCTCCAGCTCGCTGCACCGCCTACTATGCGGTGATTGGTTTATCAGTAAGAGTGATGAACATGCGGACCAATCGTCTACTCAGACACCCTTGAGCCCGCCCCCTCTTCCTAGTCCTCCAATCCGGAAGCGCAACCGGGTGAGCTGGTGTTTCCGCCGCGAGACGGTTGCGGGGTGGCTCGGCTCCTGGCATTCCCGTTTGGCCGCGGGGCTCCCCGGACGCCAGGCATGGGCGACACCACGGGACCGTGCGCCTGCCTGCGGCGCTACCCCGAGCTCCCGGTGTGGGTAGTGGAGGATCACCAGGAGGTGAGCGGGCTGATCGGCCTGGGGCAGAGTCGCTCCCCGGAGCCCAGTGGTGTCCTTGGCCTGAGAGTGACGCTGCTTCCCGCGTCCCGGCCTCTCCCGCTCTGCCCTGCTGTTTCAGAGAGAGGCTGATGCCGAGAACCGAGCTCGCGTACCCGACACGGGACGGAACTCGTAGGATCGTGTGTGTGTTGTGTGACTGTCGGCCTGTAACCCGAGCGCGCCGGAGGCCGAGGCAGGACCATCCTGTCCCGAGTTCGAGACCACCCTGGAATATACAGTGAGCCCTTACAAAGACAGAAGAAAAACAAGAGGGGGCAGAAATTGCTAACACTAAAAGACATTTCCATTTCGTGACCGTGCTGCTCTATAGTAGTCCAACCGATGTCTTCATCTAGATTTCTGGAAGCCAACCAAGGAGACCCGTAGATCTGAGAAATTTGTTTAAAAATGTTATTCATAGACCGTGCAAGTTTTCTGGATATAAAAAAAGAGGCTAGGAGTGTACCTCAGGGCAATCTCCTTGCCTGCACCACACTATATATATATATATATATATATATATATACATATTTTTTTTTTTTTTTTAAGGGAAGATTTACTGGTGGAGAAAGTGAAGAAAAGAGAAAGTTGGGTTTTCAGGGCCCTAGACTTGGTGGCTATGGGCATAAGAGAAGGCCAAAGTGTTGGTTAGGTGGGAGTTTCAAGTTCGGTATTAATTAATCCTACAACTCTAGAGGATACACGGTGAGAAAAACTGCCTACCCCAGCACTGCCACCCTAAAGATACTGGGAAAACCCCAAGATCCAGGGTGCCGAAAACATAGTTAGTGCTAGAATGGGCGTTAACCAGCAGTTGGCTCTTGAGCCTAGTCCCGGTGTACCTTCCCACATAAGCTATTGGATTTGAGATGGGGCCAGATATTAGAGATCAAACTGGAATTTCTGAGGAAAAAAGAAAGGTCATTTGAACCATCTGTAATAAGCCAACTTTATATTTTTCCACTGTTAACAATTTGATGCGCTTCAAATTATGTGCAGCTGTGTTCAGTGTTATTCCTCTGTGCGTGAGTGTGCTCACGATCCCAGTGCCAGTTCTGAATCTGCACATGTGTCTCTTCTACAGGTTCTGCCTTTCATATATCGAGCCATAGGATCAAAGCATCTTCCTGCCAGTGATATAAGTGTATTGCACTTCGACTCCCATCCAGACCTCCTTATACCTGTGAATATGCCAGCAGACACCGTGTTTGATAAGGAAACTCTTTTTGGGTAGCGTGATCTTTGCTAATAATCTTTTACGTTGTCTTAGTGCCTTTTCTCTTGTTACTGACACAAGATACTGGACACCCAAAGTTAAAGGGGGAGAGGTTCATGTAGCTCACAGTTTGGGGGGGTTCAGTCCATAAGCAGCTGGCCCCAAGGCAGGGTGGCGCAGGGCTCAGGGGCACCAGTGCATGGCAGACAGCAAAAGTGGCAAGGGAAGGAGGAAGACAAGCCTCTTTCTGCCCCTTCTATTGTATCCAGCCTGCTGGGGTCAGGGAGGGGCCAATCCAATCAGTCAGCTTATCTAGCAGTCACCCACCCTTAATCCCAGGATGCTTAATCTGGGCATTGCATTCCAAATGAATCACACACTAGATTCAGGCCCCTGCAAAACAAATTCTAGGACTGAATTTGGCTTTGAGGGGAACAACTAGGCACAAACCATATGTTTGAAAGACAGTTTGGAGACAGTTTGGAGTATACTCCAAACTGTTACGGGAAATAGACTTTACTAAACCCTTAGGTTTGACTTTTGCTTGCCTTTTTTTCTTTTTTTTTTTTTTTTTTTTTTTTTTTTTTTGCAGAACCGGGGATTGAACTCAGACCCTTGCGTTTGCCAGGGAAGCGCTAATTCCACTGAGCCATCTCCCCAGCCCCTTTTTTTCATTTTATTTAGAACAACTTACAACAAACATTTTCTTAAAGAGCCAGATGGTAAATATTTGAAAAGACTTTGCTAGTGTTCTGAGAAAGTTCTTCCTTCTTTGCTCTATTAAAGTCTGAATACTGCGATGTAAGAAAATGTGCCCTATTGATGTGACAGTTAAGTAATTGTATGAGCAACACAGCTTAATTCGTGTGTCCTTTTTTTAAGTATTGAGACCCTCCTCTCAGTAGATTTTTGGGTTACAAATCCTCTTGACTTTTAGTTACAGAGAATCATAGGGATGGAACTGAGATTGGAAATTACTACACCACCCTTCAGGAAAGATGATGTCTAATCTATCGTTCATTATGATATACTGGTCTCTTTTTCTATAATATGGTTCCCTGAAACTCTATCTGTCCTTCACGGATACATATCACATTTTTGTATTTTTAGGGAAGGGTCTACAGTGTATGCAGGGTCTCACTACTAGATCAGACTCATAGTGATCTGCCTGTTTACAGCCTCCCAAGAGCTTGTCCTTACTTTTATATCTGGAAGTTTTATATTTTACAAATTGAAAAAAAAAAATGAAGTAGATATGCATTGTATATTGACATAAAAGATATCATTTATGAAAAATAAATATATTTTCCATAACAAAAAATATTTAAGTGCCGAGCATGATGGCACACTTGTAATCCCAGCACTCAGGAAGCTGAGGCAGGAGGATCACCATGGCTTTGAACCAGCCTGGCCTGCGTAGGGCGGTCAAGGCTGCCTGCACTACATAGCAAGATAAGCGAGAAGAGCGGCATCGCGGGTTTCTTTAATATTTTTCGTTATAAAAGACAGCTGGGTTTCTTGTATCTGTTTTTACATTCAGTCTGTCACCACGTTTTGGCTCAACTTTATGATGAAAATTCAGGCTCTCATAGACATGTTGTTAAGAAAGAGAATTGCCATAAACTTTTCACATAAACATTTGGTGATAGTGCACTGACACTTGACAGGCAGTAGTTCCTTAAAACCGTCCTGGAGGGGCCGGGGAGATGGCTCAGTGGAATAAGCACTTCCCTGGCAAGCGCAAGGGCCTGAGTTCAATGCCTGGTCCACCAAAAGAAACCCTTCTTGGCATGTACCCCCTGACAATGCAGCCTCCGGGCTAAATAACAGTACTTTATGGACCGCAGCTATGTTCACTCTTTTTCTTTTTTGCTGGAGACTGAACCTTGGCCCCTTGCACTGAGCTACATCTCCAGCCTTGTTTTGATTATTAAGCCCAGTTTGGCCAAGTTGCTAAATGGCGTAGGCTGGGCCTCAGCTTGCCATCTTCCTCAGCGTCCCGGAGTGCTGGGATTACAAGCGCTGCCCCGCCTGACTTTGACCATTCCTTTCTTCAAGAAAATTATGTTTGGTTTATAATTGAAACACAGGTCCTTTGGGGAGGCAACCGTTGTAGCTCAGGATGTGTAGAAGTGCCTTCTGTGCACGTGTCTTTTGCCTCACAAAATATTTAGTAATACGTGCTCATGGTTGAGCATTAACAAAATCAGGGGCGGTCTTTGGTGAAGCCAGCTGCTGCTGCTGCTGCTGCTTTTTCTTTTCACCGGTCCTGCCTAAAGAAAAATAACAGTGGCTACAAATTTGTGCTGTTGTGTTGATTGCTCTTAGGCCATCAACTTGGCAGAACAAATACCAATACAATGAAAAAGAGAAATAATAACTCAGTATATTTAAGAAAGTAGTTTTAACCTAGTGGTCATCCTGAAGAAGTTTTGGGAACCTTGCCCAGCTCCATACTCTGGATCTTAAAACTGTAGATGAAATGACAGTTGAGAAAATATGCTCTCATTTTAATGTTTCTTCTCTTTCTTTTTTAGAGAATTAAGTATTGAAAATTGGATTATGCCTGCGGTTTATGCCGGCCACTTTTCTCACATAATCTGGCTTCATCCCACATGGGCGCAGCAAATCAGAGAGGGCAAGCACCATTTTTTAGTAGGCAAAGATACTTCTACCACAACCATCAGGTAATTTCCTTGTATCTGGACGTGTGAAGGATCTGAATGCTTGTCTCTTACTTTGGATTCCTATAACAACTTCCTAACATTCTCTGTCTACAAAAGGGTCAGGCCAGCAGGATAGCTCAGTGGTCTCAAGTGTCTGCTTAGGCCAGCTTAGGCTAGCATGCAGGGGCCACAGTTCAGGCCCCTGCACCACTTGCCACGCCAGCCCCACCCCCAGAGCGGGCTGAGCTGACCACCAAAAAAAAAGAGTTGGATTAAACCATCACCCTCCAAAATACAGTGTGTCAAGTTTAACATTAGGAATGAGAAAACAAAATTATGTTACTTTGGTTCTTTTTTTAATAAATTCAGCAGCTAAATAAGTAGATTATAGGTTCTAATGTTATTAATAAGATTAGTTTTAGGTAACTACTTAGTATGAAATTACAAGTCCTCTTAACTTGAGTTACATGTACATTTTGGTTGCTTAAGCTATTTAACTGATATATCGCGATACTACAGCAGTTTATTAAACATCTATGTGTGCTTTCTAAACTCTTCCGATGGGATGAATGTAAGCATTGTAATCAGCTCACTCGACTTGAAAAACAGTAGGACGAAATGACGATACATCGAAAGTGAGAAGCAGTCTTATGGAAAACGATGCTTCTTATTTCTGCATGAACATAAATTTGGCAGTACGTGCTCTTATTTGTGGGAATGACTTCATTGTGATATGAAAGTTGCATATGCTTACGTAATTTGAAAGAAGAAGTTGTCAGTAATTTGAAAGAAGAAGTTGTCAAATACTGCTTGTAATACTGGTCCGTGTGAAAGCATAGATTTTGTAACAGAGTGGGCCAAATTTAAAATGCAAAATCAAATACTTTCGCCTGATTTGACACAGCATTGAAACCCTAGACAGTAATATTCAGCGTACGTTGATTACCTCATCATTTTAGTTCATCCCTTAAGTAAAAGCGTATGAAAGAAACATCACCTGTGTACAGTCAGAGGTTACATGGTGTGTGGATGAACAGGATCAAAGGCAAACCTCTGTTACTACAAAGAACATAAATTTAGACTGGGGATAAAGCATTTATCTTTCTTAGGATGGGACAGCTTTTAATAAGCTTGAACATTAGTTTTATTATTGCATGTGTGTGTGTGTGTGTGTGTGTGTGTGTGTGTGTATGTCTCTGTGTGTCTTTTTGAGACAGGGTCTTGCTATACAGCTCAAGCTGGCCTTTAGCTCACTTTGTAGCCCAGGCTAGTCTCAACTCACAACAGTCCTCCTGTAAACCTATTTTTTATACTATTATATGTGGTAGGTGTGGGCAGGTGAGAAGTGAATACTGTGATTTTTGCTTGCTAAGGGTACATCTCTGGGAGAAGTATACTGGACTGGACTGCTGTAAGTGTTTACCCAGGCACAGTGTAGTTGAAGTGCCAAGAACATGCCTCTGGGTGTGGAATCAGAAGCTCCCCCGGGCATGCTGGCATTTCCACGGGCCTGGGTGCTGGGGGGCAAAGGAAGAAGGGTCGTCTGAGGCAGGGATTTGAGGGTGACAGAGAGAGGGAGACAGGGACAGGTGGTGAGGGGGAGAAGGGGAAAGACAGAAAGAAAGATACCGATCTGCAGCTCTATGGAATGAACGCATGCTCCAAGTGCGTGGATAGTTTTATGTTGCTTTTCATATTGAAAATATCATGGTTGCATAGAATTTCACAAAGCTTTGAATGTCAGAAGGAGCTTCTCTTAGGGGACAGTATTTCCACTCATAAATTTTCTCTTACATGATTCCAGTTAAAGATTCAGCTGGTATGAAAGAAACCAAAGTAGCACTTGCCTATGCAGAGGGGTTTGTTTCTTTCTGAATTTAGAGCGTACCACACACAGTTTGGGGCTATGTGGACATTCCACAGTTTGGGAAACTTGCTTCTGTGCGCATGTCCCACTATGTGGAGGGTCCTCCTGGTCAGGGTACCTTGCCCTGCTGTGTGTGCTGCCAAGCAGCACAGAGCAAGAAGCAAGGCTCCAGCCATTGTGCGTCCATTCCAAGCCACTGGCCCGCATTTGCTCAAGTGGCCATCGGTGGGCTGTGCATTGAACTCCTCCCCTGGGCAGCCAAGCACCCAGCCAAGGATGGGGAGAATGGTATTAAACAATCATTTATAAAGGGGCTGGCCGAATAGCTTAGCAGATTAAAGCACCTGCAAGCGTAGGGGCCTGGGGCTCAATCCCTGGACCTGCTGTCCTGGCCCCGCCCCTGGGGCGCACTGAGATGGCAGTTGAGACTGGGTGTGGCAGCGCATTCCTGTAATCACAGCTCTTGGGAGGCTGTAAGCAGGTGCCCTGAACACCCTGTAGACCCTTCCCTAAAAATACAAAAAAATAAAATAAAATATTTTTTCCCTCTGATCCAGGGTCACAAGTACAGATCACTACTTCCTAAGTGATGGTCTCTTTGTACCTGAAGACCAGCTAGAGAATCAAAAGCCACTACAGTTGGATGTAATTATGGTGAAGCCTCATGAGTTTGGTGCCTGTCAAGAAGAAAGTGCTGCCGTGTCTTCTGCAAAGAAGCCCAAACTAGCGCCAAAAGATTCGGAAAACGCTGCCGCCGCTCACTGTGACTCTTGCTCAGGACACCTGGAGAAGGACGTGGGGACCCAGAGCCCGGGCCGAGCTTGCGGAGAGCCGTCCTGTTCTTGCTTTTGTTCTGCCAAAAGTCAGCAGTGCCAAACTACAGCCTGCACCCAGCAGATTCTGGAAATTCTGAAGGAAGGCAATGCGTTTGTTTTAGATATTGACTTAGATTTTTTTTCAGTCAAAAATCCCTTCAAAGAAATGTTCACTCAGGTAGATGCTATTTTTTAAAGCAGATCTTGAGACTTGTGTGTCATTTCTGTAGAGCACAGGAAACTTTCTGCAGATAGCAAGAGAGTAATTAGTGTAGGCTTTGGAGGCTATACTCCACCCCATATTCTTCTTTTTAATCTTTTTTAAAAGTGTAGACAGTTTGAGCCTCCTAATTCCAAAATCTAAAATATTTGAAACTTCAGCATCTTAGAGAAAGAGAGAGAGCTCAGTGGACTAAGTGCCTACCTAGGCAAGTGCAGGGGGACTGGGATTCGATTCCTGGCACCACATGCCGTGCCAACCCCAGCCCCGGGCACGCGGAACTGGCCACTGTTGCCTATAATCCCAGCACTGGGGAGGCTGAAGACAGGAGAAGCACTACAAGACTGAGCTGCGTAGTGCGACCCTGTACCAAATACATTTATTTATGTATCTGTGTGTGTGTGTATCTAGTACAGGGTCTCACTACACAGACGGCACTCACCATGAGCTTCCTGTTTTCAGCCTCCCAAGCGCTGGGATTATAGGCGCATGCCACCACGCCCATTTTCAGTCACCATCTCAGGGAGGGTGAGGCCAGCATGGCACACCAGGGATCGAGCCCCAGTCCCTGCTGCTACCTAATCATGTGCTTTAGTCCACTGAGCTGTCTGGCCAGCCCACCAAATAAATTTTTTAAAAAAGAAAATTCAACATCTTTTGAGAATCCAAATGAAATGCACTAGTTAAGTCTATCCAAAGCAGTCCAAAATTCAAAAATCTCCAAATTCTAGCTGGGTGTAGTAGCACATTGTAAACCAGTGCTCTGGGAGGCTGAGACAGGACAATCACAAATTTGAACACAGCCTTAGCAGCTTAAGCTACTTAATGAGACCCTGTCTCAAATTTTAAAAAGAGCTGAGCACTCAGCATAATGCAAAGGCTCTATGTTTACTCCCCGATACCACACACACAAAAAGAAAATCCAAAAATCATAAATACTTTTGGTCTGAAGCATTTTGAATAAAGGACACTTAGTCTTCACTATACTTTAGAATTTAGTAGGTATGTTTTTAATATGATAAAGAGAGTAGAAAATTCTATTATATCTATTATTATAAACTGTGATCTTGGGAAAGTTACTTACCTTTTGACCTGCAGTTTTCTAAGTAGGAACTAGGAATAATATCATGCCTGGCTGGCTGAAAGGATAGCTCAGTGGTAGGGTACTTGCCTAGCAAGCACAAGGCCCTGGGTTTGATCCCTGACACTGAAAAACAGTAACACCCAGCTGTTAGGATTGTTAGGATTGGTAAAGCACTGAAAATGGTGCTAAACAGTGTGGTTAGTAAGTTTCAGTTCTTAGATATGACTTCTCCCTAGTAGTCGCGTTAAGTCAGGCTGTTTGGGCCAAGCGCATTCACCTGCGTAGTGAAACTCGTTGTGCCAGACAAGGGGAGGGGTGATCCCAGAGTCTGGGTGTAGCAGGCACCTTCCTTTGTGTAGAACCTCCTAACAGGTTTTGTCGTTGGCAGTGCACTTCCAGTAATATCTTTGTTCTATTTTTCTTTCATTGCTGGAAAAATGGCAGCACCAGGAAAGCTGCTTTATCATCAAAGACATGTACACCTCCTGTACCTGTGAAGTTTATTGAGATCCTAGAGTATGTCCATCTTCCTGATGGGTGTCATTGTCATCTCATGATCCACAGCTGCCTAGTCTTCTGTAGTCACTATATATTTTATCATGGCCGACTGGGTAAGCGTTGCCCTGAAGAGGTTCCTTGTACTCTGGAAGTCTAGTTTATAGGTTGCTGATTCTCCCAACCAAACCATTGAATAGTTCTCTGAGATGCTCAGTTTCTGTCACAGGCAAATCTGCCTTTCACTTAAATGCATCACTTGAGAAAAAGTTAACCTTCAATGTCTTGTTTTCTAGGAGGAATACAAAATCTTACAAGAGCTCTACCAGTTTAAAAAGCCTGCTAGCAACCTAAGTGAGGTACCCACCATCCATTTCTTTTGGATTTTGTGCATTTATTACTTGTCTAATAATGTCTCATAATTTATTAGTGTCACCTTACAAGAATACCCAAATTGTGTGTGTGCACGTGTGCATTTATGTTTATTGATCTAGCCCGTCTCTATGAAAATAATGTGTTGAAGATTCTTATTATACTAAGATTTCACTTATTTTTTGGAAGGATAACTGTATATTCTCAGCTTTTCAATGTGTTTAAAGGAAGATTTGGTAGATGTTGTCGATGTTCGGATTCGTCAGCTAGAAGACCTGGAAGCAGCCTTTGCTGACTTGTGCGATGGCGATGACGAAGACACTGTGCAGAGCTGGGCCTCGAAGCTGGGGTAAGGCCAAGGCGTTGGCTCCAGGCCTACTGATTTTCTGTCCTAAATAGCTTCCTACATTTGTAGACAAGTTGCTTTTTTAAAATGAATACTTAGCCAGCCTTGGTGACACATGCATTGGGAAACTGAGGCAGAGGAATCGCAAGTGAAAAGCCCAGGCTGGACAGCTTAACAACCTAGCAAGGCCCTGTCCCAAAATAAAAAGAGCCGGGGCATAGCACAGTAGCGCAGTGGGAAGACTCTGGGTTCAGTCCCCGTCCCCCCGTACTATTTTATTTCAACCCAGATTCACCAATAGTAGCACTTATTGAGTGTTTTCAGTGTGGTCCGTAAGGACTTTCCTTGTGTTGTGTCATTGCCTTCCTTGTAACAACCTCTGGATAGATTCATTTTACAGATAAGGAAATAAGGTGCAGGGTTTAAGCACAGTTCCCGAAGGTGCCCTGTCAGCAGCCTGCTCTTCGGTTGTTGCGCCAGAGCTGACCCTAAGCGTGTTACGCTGGGCCATGTGGAACACTACCGATGAGTGCCTGCGTACTCGGTGGTCTAAGCAGAGTAAGAAAGAAAAATAACTGTTAACCCATCAACAGAGACATAAATTACTTGACAATAAATTGCAACAGAGAAACTGGCCTCCCTTAAGAGTAGCTCAGTGAAGAAGTTGTAAACGTTTGAGGTAGTGGCAATACAGACCAATTACCCTGATCTGGTTGTTGCATGCTGTTTACATGAATAGAAGTACTACATTGTATGCGCCAAATAGGTTCGGTTATGTGTCAGGTTAAAAAAAAAGAATAGCCCAGCTATAAGTAGGTGAGTTTATCTTCAATCTGTTCGTGATGTGAAAGAAGATTTGAAGGCCAGATTCTTCATCTGATCACTTATGTCAACGCGATTCTCATATTGTCAGCATTACTTTGGAAATGTGGAAAGTCTTTGGAACCTGGCATGAAAGAATATACTTTTCCCTAAAATGTCTTACAGACCTGGGGATGTAGCTTAGTGACAGCACTTACTTGCCTAGTATGTGCAAGGTCCTAAGTTCAACCCCTAGCACCACAGAAATAAACAAATAAAATGTCTTATAAACTAGACCAAAACACTACAAGCCATTAGACAAAAATTTTATCCTTATGCACACAGAAAGCCTGGATTTATTTTAAAATTAGTCAGCCACACACTGAGGTGAACAATTTTTTGTAAGATATCAGTTGTATTACAGCGTACGCTGGGAACTTAGAATCATAGTGTGTTCTGGTCAGAATATGAACAACCCCTTAGGTTTGTCACATGATGCTTATTAAAACTAACTCATCAGTGACCTGGTCATGGTTGCACATGCCTTTAATCCCACCAGTCTGGGATAAGAGGAGCATAGCAAGTTTGTGCCGGCCCTGGGAAACTTAGCAAGACTCTGTCTCAAAGTTTAAAACTTGAGGACAGAGAGGATACAGTTCAGTGTTAAGGTCCTGGTTTCAATGCCCCATGCTAGGAAAAATAATAATAACTTACCGGTTCTCTAGAAGCATATGGAAACTGGGATAGTGGCTGCCTCTGGAGAGAGGAGTCTGGACTAAGAGAGAAGGTGGATGAGCCCAAGACACCTGAGCTACGCGTGTGTGTTGCCTACTCGGCAGACTCACTGGTATTTTTAAAATAATTCAGAGACATTTCTGAACTGTAAATATTACAAAGCTTTTATTGTCATAAGGAAAGCTGTGCTGTAGAAAAATCATTCATAACAGTTTAATCACATTCCTAAATACACAAAGCATATTGTCCGTGGTGGGCAGTAAGTGGTAATTGGTAAGTACTGATCAGACACTTTAACATCAGTTGATGCCTTTTCAGCATAGGGAGTTAACTCTAAAAATTTGTGCTTTTTAAAATAATGTTGGCAGAAGAAGGTAGAGAAATAAATTACAAGAAGTGAGTCCTAGAAATACTGAAGAGTTAAAGAGTATCAGAAAGAACTGTAGGTACCTTGGAATCTGGGCTGTAGGACACCCAGAGGTCCCCTCCCCTGAAGCCCACTGTGGCAGCCCTGCCCTGCTGTGGACACAGAGGTGCAAGGAGACTGGCTGACCTGTGAGGAAGAGGAGCAGCCACGGAAATGTGGGGAACACATAGGGAACATTTATTCCTTGTTTTTTGTGGTTGTTTTTTTGTTTTGTTTTGTTTTGTTTTTTTTGCGGAACCAGGGATTGAACTCAGGCCCTTGCGCTTGCCAGGGAAGCGCTTATTCCACTGAGCCATCTCCCCGGCCCCTATTCATTGTATTTTAAGATGATATTCAAGCAGCTTTATCTTTCATTCCTAAATACACAAAGCGTATTGTCCATGGTGGGCGGGAAGTGTAATAATCATTTGCTACTGTAGTTTTAGTTGGTGTGGTTGTGCTGTCTAATGTAGTGGGTCGGCTTTTTTCCAGAATGGAATCACTAGTTCCACTTGTTCAGAGTTTGAAAAAACGGATGGAAGTGCCAGACTATGAAATGGTAAATATTGATATTGAAGTATAAAACTGATCCTTTTAAGGGCAATTTTTTGAGTATAGCAGTTTGCTTTTGTTAAAATAGTTCATTTTTATTTGTGTTCCCAAAGTCTAAATTAATTACTAACAAAAGAAATAAGTGAAAAAATAGCACAGTTTTTAGAAACCACAATACTAGGAAAGTTTTCTAGGAAAAGCATTCTTTTCTCAATTTTATGTACGATGCAAAAATAGTTACTGTTTTTTAATTTTGTTGATAGAAGTTCTGTTCACCAAAGAATAAGTCCAGAATTTCTAAAGCTGTTCATTTCTTGATTCCAATCTTTACTCCCTTTGTCTTTTCCTCTTTCTTCAAAAATTTCTGATTATAAAAACCAAAAAAGAAAAATGAGAAAGCTGTGGCCACTACATTTTGAGTGTGTCACCTCTTTTTTCAACAGTGATCTGAATCTTGTAGACAAAGACTTTAAATGATACTTTTTTTTCTTTTTAGATCACTGTATAGTCTGAAGCTTTTTGTTTTCCATTTTACCCGTACTTCAGATGCAAAAACTGGTGCTTAGAAGTTCAAGTGACTTTTCTCAATTTTATGTAAATTTTTCAGATTTTTAATCCAAGAGCTGGGACCCAGATAATCCCAGACCCACTCTTGTTTAAGGATTGTAAAGGTGAGGGTTGAAAGACACCCAGCGTTGGGAAATGCTTTGAGTTCAGATGATATTATCAAATATATTTCCAGGCGAGTGTGCCTTAGTCTTTACGTCTAGAACTTTTTGTCATTGGACGGTCTGTGTAGTGTTACCAGAGAAAGGGATAACAAAGCTTCAGTCAGAGGTGACATGATTTGATTCTAGCTGAATGCTTAGGACACTTGGGTGGTTTGATTATTTCGGGGAACAAACTTAGAATCCGCCATTTTACACATAGACTGATCACTACTGACTAAATTATTGATGAATATCTAAAGTCACCAATAAAACAGATCAGTGTGTTTTCCTTATTTTGCTCTCATATGCTGTAGGCAAAATTATGACTTGTTCGAGCTCTCACTGTCGATGTGTTAAAGCTGATATTGCAGGTAGCAGCCTGTGAACCTTATTTGTAGCTTTCAGGAATATTGAATGCTAAGACTAAGCATCATTGTTTACCGTTATTTAAAACACAGATACTAGCAATGTATGATTATTCATAAAGGATATACAAAAAGACAGTATGTTGAATAAAGTAGAAGATTCTCTTCTCTCTTTTTTTATACTAATTTTATTGAGAAAGAAGTAGCAATGAGACAATTTCAAATCAGGTTAGTAGGACAGTTACAATAACACATTGTATATTGTTGTCTTTGTAGTAGTTATTCACTGTACAAGATGCAGATATGATCTCTTGTCCAAACACTATAGTTCAAAACTTTGTTCTCATTGAACAAAGAGAGAGTAGTTGTATATCTATGCTAAATATTTTGTATATACAGATATATATATATTTTTTCACTACAAAATGGTCCATTTATATCCCCCTTTTTTGTTTACTTTTGTCAGAGAAGGTATTCCAAAAAAGGTAATAAATGAATACAAGAGACAAGAAAAAAATATCATGGGACTATCCTGCTACAATGTTGTATATGGTTAGATTTCTATTTTTATTTTTTTTTTCACATTCTGTACAGATTTAAAGTTTAGCATATCAACAATTGATGGGAAATACTTGTTCCATGTTATGTTTAAGGCATTTGATATTCAGACAGATAACTGATGTTAAGCTCAATAGCCTGTTTTAGGGTAATAATATCATTAAGCTTTTCTTCCAAAGGGTTAACAACTTAAATTTAGACCAAAAAAAAAAAAATTAGAGAAAAAGAAGGGCTACAAGGATAGCCAACATTATGGTCCTAGCCCTTCAAGGTCAGTGAGAAGATTCTCTTCTCAATGCTCTGAAGATAGTATTAGGTACATATATTTTAAAAGCAAATAAAATAACATGATGAAAGAAAAAATGAAAATATTGCAGTTTTATATCAACTTTGAAACTCTTAAGTGAAATATATAATTTTGTCAGAAAATTTGAATGACTTAAAAGACAGAGAATCTAAGTAAACCCATAACCAAAACGTCATAAAGTATTAATGCTAGAAAAGTAGGTCCAAACAACTATGTAGGCCAGTTCTACCACAACTTCAGAAAGCAGGTTAACTTCTGTGACTTAGAAACTGTCAAAGATAAAATCAATCCCATTCCATTAAAAAATTACAAGATTTGTCAGCAGAGCCTTTGCTGATGAAAGAATCTTTCAAAATCAATCAAGTCTTACAATATACTTTTTAATTGCCTTATTTTCAGGTCCACCAGGCTGGTCTAACCTGTGATTATTCAGAACTTCCTCACCACATCAGCACAGACCAAGAAATTGAGAATCTCATTCAGTCTGTGTATTATTTACTAAGAAAATTACCCAAACCTACTCTTGTGACCATCGCAAGGTGAGTGTGGTGTCTGCATTCTGGTCTCTAGAACCTCTGAATACATTGTCTTGTATGGCAGTAGGGAATCCTGCGGTGAACCAGAGGGTTCTGAGCTGAGGTGATCTGGATGGGCCCTGTATTATCGCAACAGCCCTAAAAAGAGGGAGGCAGGAAGGTCAGAACTGGAGAGAGTGCGCGTGCGCACACACACACACACGTGAAAGGTGCTGCACTGCTGGGTTGGAAGATGAGAAATAGGGCCACAAGCTAGAGAATACTGGCAGCTGCTAGGAGCTCAGAAGGGCAGAAACAGATTCTCCCTACAGGAAAGTGCCACGTTACATTCCCGTCTTAAGTGTCACTCAACACGGCAGGCACAAATGCAGACAGACGCTTTTATGAGTTACATCACCCAAGTACCACAAACCACACTGCCATAATGACATGATTTTTCCAATTCCTAAACAAACTTTTAGTAAAGATATAGACTTAAAAATGCAGTCTTTCCTCAAGTCAGAGTAATTACACTCCTGGAAAATGTAGTTCATATTTAATCCGTTGTATTTTTAATCCATTTTGAAAATGCTCTGTTAATATGTACAGATGTTAAGCTCTAAGCTTGGTAGTTAGAAACCAATTTCTCACATTTGTGAATATTTCATGATCTTTGAAAAGTTGGCAGGACACAGGACAGTGATTTGTACTCAGTTCTTTTTCATGTTAGAGGCCTAGCACCCAACCCTCTTGTCCTGGTCACTTGACTGTCAGCAGCATTCATCGAAAAATTATAACAGAAATGTCCCCGCCTGGTTGGGGTGTGCCTCAGTGAGCAATCATATGTATATGTTTCAGAATTTGATAATCTAACACATTCTGTATCGTTTATTTATTGTGTCTTAATGTTTCACCTTAAACCATAGAAGTAACCTAATCACCAGAGAATACAGTGAGTTTGCCAGAGGTCTTATAGATTATTTCTTGAAGTCAGAGATACTTGTTTGAAGGACAAGGCTACTGTCTAGTTCCAGTTTCTTCAGAAAGCTTTCTGTGGCTCCTCCCAGCTATCCACAATGGCTTTTGGTCTCATGACATTGGGCTCACACATTCGCTTCATCTGGCCTGCCAGTGGCAGTGGTATTTTAAGGGCCCAGGGCAAGTCGAGTTGAACTAGTGAGATCTAGAGGACTCCTGAGGTGCAGATTCTGCCTGCCCACTTGCCTCTTTTTCTCCTCATGCAGCCTAGGAAGCAATCCCAACACATTACATCCTGCCTTTTAGTTTTGATCAAGCCGCGGATCCTTTATATTTGTGTAGTTGACAAATTATTGTAGAAGTAGGAAAGCCTACTTTCCTACTTCAGTTGGAAAGCCCTACTCCTGCACACAGCTGACAGAATAAGGAGGCTTCCTGGCCACTAAGCTCCTAGGCACCCATATTCTCCAGTGACGCTCCCTCAGGGAGAGGTAGCGCTGTAGCAATTAAGCACAATCCACTGCATTTCAGACCTATCCCCTCACTAGCTAGGTAACCTTGCATGAGTGAATCGCTTTGGTTTAGATTTCTTTGAAGACATTGTACCTATTTTACAGAGTTGGTGAGAAAATTCAAAACTAAGTCATATAAAACACATAACATGGAGTAAGCATTTAGTAGCTTTCTACTATTATTCCAGAATTCAACCCCCCTGCATTTTGTATTCACATTCCCATCAGCCCATGCAGGCTTTTCCTTTTTGCTCAGATTATCCTGTTTAACATGTGTGCTTTCTCTTGCTTCCAGGTCCAGTCTGGATGACTACTGTCCTTCTGATCAAGTTGACACCATTCAAGAAAAGGTCCTTAAAGTCCTGCACTCCCTCTATGGGGCTCTGGACACTCACCTGGTGTATTCAGCAGAGTCTGTCCCAGCTTGAAGCAGACAAAACGCTAGAATTGTATTATATCTTGCTGTAATTACCAGGTTTTCATTAACTGGTTTGTACATGAGTCTTCCAGAGAACACTTTTATGCTAGCTTTCAGTTGAAATCTTGAAGAAATTTTGAATCTCCAAAAACCATCTTGTTGGATAATGGCGGTTTTTTTGTTTTACATCAAGTCTGCTAATTCCAGTTGACAGAATTGTTACTTAACTTTCTTATCATTGTCTTTATTTTTGTGAGGGTTTTTGTCTCCCCTTTCCCTGTAGGTCAATTGGACTGCAAGATTCATTCATGTGTTTATTTATTCATTCCTCTAACTCACATATTAAGTACTTATGCGTGCCAGACATTATTACCTGTGCTCCGTGTGTGGTGATGAATAGGGTGAACAAAGCCCAGCCCTCCTGGGAGAGAGCCATGAGGAACGAATTATGGGTGATAAGCAGTGTGGCAAAGAAGGAAAAGGCAGCGCCCAGCGTGCCTCAGGCATGCCCTTGGTGCTCAGTGCACCTGGCATTACAGGAAGGAAATTTCTCAAAAGTTGCTATCAAAAAAATCTTATTTATGCATAAAAATGTTATAAGAAATCTACCTTTTTGAGACAGTCTCACCACGCAGATCAGCATAGACTTGAACTCACTGTGCACCCCAGGCTGCTTTGAGCTTGAGGCGATCCTTCTACCTGCCTAGCCTCCCAGGGTGCTGGGATTATAGGCTTGAGCCACCATGCCCCACTTCCAGTAACACGTTTACAGGATTAAAGAAAGAGACCTGGTTAAGTAAATGTGAGTGGCTCAGTGCCTGTTCTCATTGCCGAGACAGGACAGCATCCGCAGAGGAAAGGAGGGAAGGCTTGTTTCAGCTCACAGTTTACAGAAGTCTTTTTTTTTTTTTTTCAAAGTTTTATTGACAAACAGATAGCAATGAGACAGTTTCAAATCAAATCGGAAGGACAGTTTCAACAAATAATACACTGCATATATTCTTCTTAGTGGTTAATTGCTGTACAAGATGCGGACTTGTGATCCTATTTACAAACACCATTAGAACATATCATTCTATTTATTAAGAGAATGCAACTATATATCTATCCCAACCTCTTTGAATACACAGATACAAAATGGACATTCATCGGTATACCCCATTTTTTCTAAGTTCCGTTATTGAATATTATAGGTGTGTAAACTTAGCAAAATATTCTAAAAGAGTCCAGTAGCCTATAATAGCATTGGGTCTTATATTTAACTTACAGAAGTCTTGTAGCTGCCTGGCTTCAAGGCAGGGCAGCCCGCAGGAGAAACAGTCCATGGCACAGCAGGCTGGCGGCTGCAGCAGCAGCAGCAGCAGCAAGCCTCCCTTTCACTTTTGCTGCAAGCATTTTGGACCTTGCTCCTCACACCCTGGGTGGGGCTTCCATTGTCCCCCCAAGTCTATGCTAAGTCAATTTAGTTGTTACACACCCTGAATCCTGGTATCCTACACCCCAATCTGGCATCCCACAACCTGATCCAGCCACCTCCCAGAAGCTGCACCTATCAGTACGCAAGGATTTGGGGGGGACATTTAGATAGAGCCTTAACAGTAGCCAAACAAAAATGTACCTTTTTTTTTAGGTATCTTAGTACAGGGACTACAGGATTTACTACACAGATCGGATTCATAGTGATCCTGTTTTCAGCCTCCCCAGCGCTGGGATTACAGGCATGCATCACCACAACTGGTCTCAGGAGATTTTTTGCCAGGCAGGTGCTTATGCCAGTGAGCTATCTCCCCAGCCCCCTCAGGAGATTTTTTGAAAAATGAAGCAAAGATTATTTCAAGCAAGTAAGGAGAGTATAGGGCTGGGATATATTTTCCTGTGCAGTGTTGCTCCCCAAACCAAAGCCAGGGAAGTCTATTAGAGACCCATTCCTGCTCACCCTGGAGAGACCTGTTGCCGTGTGTGAGGCCTGCACCCCAGACCCCTGCTGCGCGTACTGAGGATTAAAGCCAGGACCTCGTGCGTGCTGGATAAGCGCCTCTCCACTGAGACACATCCCAGCCCTGAGGCTGGCGCAGTCTTGCACATGTGCATTCAGATAGCATGCTTTATATCTTGCATGTTTGAAAATGGGGAATGTCTCCAGGTGTGCAGGAGGATCACTGAGTTTGAGGCCATCCTGGGCTATAAAGTGAGTTCCAGGCCATCCTGAACTGCATGCTGAAACCCTGTATCAAAAAGACAAGAAAGAAGAAAAAAAAAATGGGAAGAATGTCTCAGGTGGAGGTTTTAGCGTGGAGTATGTTAGGCAACGTTTACCTCAGGCAGAAGAGTGACAGGTGATCTGGGCTGGCTTAAGCCAGACCTGTGAATTCCTTGCAGTTTTCTCTGGGGAGTTTTCTCTGAAAAAACAACTTGAAGGGCAGCTTGTTCACCCCCATCACACTACCAACAGGTGTCCAGCCCTGTGAGTTCCTGCCTGGCAGCTTCACAGAGTTAGTGATGGAACTTTTCCTTTTCTAGTAGCCAGCGCCCCTGCCCCGGTATACCATTTCGTTCAGTAACCATTTTCACCACTTGTTCACTTTTTTCCTCGAAAGACTAAGCATGGCACATAAAGGAAAAGGCGCGCCCGTGGTCGTAGCGCAGCTTTCATTTTGCATGCAGCTTTCCGGCCTTCTGCGTGCATGGCTGCAGGGCTGCCTGTGGCAGCGAGCGTGGCATGTTCCGACCATACTGCGCGGCTGATGCTGAGCTTCAGTGCCCCTTACCTTTGGCACTCACTAGGTGGCGCCAGGCCCCATTTTTTTTAAATAATCCTATTGCAATTAATTTTTCTTGTCACCAGGTGGATTTCCAAAAGCCAAGCGCATGAGTGCTTACTTGCATCGTGAAGAGCAAGGTGAACTGACCGGCCTTCCTGGTTTTGTGAAACGCTACATGCCAGGAAGGTGCTCGTGGGACGGCAGAATTCCAAAGCCGTGCTGTGTATTTCTCAATTTGAAAATTTCTGTTGAGTTCTGTAAATACGCATTATTTTTATGAGTAAATTATTTTGTGTGCTAAAAGAAATTAAAAGGTGTGTTTTAAAGTTTTGCAAAGATTTGAAATCTAATTGTTTCCCGTCTCTGTCTTGAGGTCATTCATTTTGAACTGTAGTGTGAATCGTGACACCTCAGGTTGAATAAATAGCATCAGTTTCTTTTATCAGAGACTCAGACTTCGTAGGTCTCATGTTTGTGATTGTTGCCTTTAAGATCTAGTTCAATCCCCTACTTAAATGAAACCAAATTACCAAATTATATCTGCCCAAAATAGGGAGGGGTTACATCAAGGTGGCGCGCATGTGTGCTGTGTGTACCAGTGAGGGGAGGGGTGCACGTGCAGGTATCCCCGAAGCGTGGCATTTGCAGACAGTGAGTTAAGTGTAAGTGCAGGCCTTAGATCTGGCTCTCAATGAGGACACCTCCCACTGTGGAGGCGGGGGGTAATTTCAGCCTTATAATTCTCTTTGGCTCCAAATTTTGTCTCAGCAAACATTTTCTACAGACTTCTGTCTTTGTGCGCCCTAGGCTGTCGGGAGCTCTTACTGGTGTCCGTCACCTCATGGGATCGCTCCTGATCTCTTGTCTCAGTAGCAGTGGCCCCTGGTCACTAGCAGCAGAGTCATCGTGCTGCCACTAGTTCTCAGTCTGCTGTGTTTCGGGTACGTACAGAGATTTTCTCCCTCACCAATATCCTGAGAGAAAGCACTTCAGCTGAGAAGCCAGGTACACCATGGAAGCCCAGCCACCAGGAGGCTGAGGCCGAGGGTTATCGTGAGTGTGAGGCCTGCCTGGGCTGCATAGTTCAAGGCCCGCCTGAACTGCAAAGTGAGACCCTGCCTCAGAGCAAGTGCGAGAACTTTTATCAGACTTGACCAGCTGCTCTGGGCCATCTTTCAGGATGCTGGAAATAGTCTCCTCTCTTCTCAAAGTGCACTGAACAACCTTTTCTTCTCTTTTTTATTTATTTTAAACGTTAGACATCACATATATGTAGGTATATATGGTGAGGTGATTACTGTGTTCGAGTGAATTAGCATCTTCTTCTCACATGGCCTCCCAGTGTCTGCGTGCAGCAAGAGCCCCTAAAATGTACTGCTTGCATAAGTCTCACATAGAGTATAGTGTCGGCAGCTCCACTCCTCCAGGACATTTAAGCTCCTCCCCCACAACTACAGCTTTCACCCTTGGCCTAAATCTTCATAATTCCTTTTCTTCCTTGTTTGTAGTAACCACCATTTTTCCTGAATTCATTGTACTCCCTATTCTGTTTTAAGATTCCACGTTTAAGCAGCAGGATCAGCTTTGCAAGTACCCCTTGTTGTACCTTGTTGAAGGCCTTGACCTTCGGCAGGACAGTGCTTCTGCATACTTGTTTCTCAGCTCTTGCCCCAGGGCCACTCTGCTTTTGTTCTTTGAGCTGCATTCCTAGGATTCTTAACATCTGCACCAGCTTGTCATCCTGGAGTCAGTGGAAGTTAGGAGGATGAGGGCTCCACAAACCTTTGCACATAGGCCCCTGAGCAGGGACCGCTCTGGTCGCTGCCCAGAAAGCAATGCTGCTGGGGAGATAGCTCAGTGGAATAAGTGCTTGTCTAGCAAGCACAAGGTCCTGAGTTCGATCCCTCTTACCACCAAAAAGAAAGAAAGAATACTATGTCAGAAGGTGGTGTCTCACCATGACCGATCAGTAGCTGGCCTTCTGCACTTCTGTTAGTTTGGACCCTGTGGTGGGAGCAGGAGCCCCACCAGAGAGGCTAAAGCAAGGCTGGGCTGCAGGATCGCGCTTCCCTCAGTGGCCAGCCAGCTTCCACCTACCACACCCAGAGTGCATCCAGTTTCAGAACACCCTCTGACAGCAGTAGGATTGCAGAGGTGCCCAGCAACCAGCAGCCCTGCTCTAGGGCCACAGCACCCTGTTCAAGGCAGGTCCTTCCCAGAGTGAGACATGCAGTTTCACGTCTGAAACAGTGGAGTGGTTCCAAAAGCCTGGGTTCCCTAGCCCGCTTCCTGGCCTCATTGTGACCTGTGTCCCAGCTGTGTAATTTCTTAGCCCTCAGCTTCCCCTTTTGTAAGAGAATTAGCCGGGCATGGTGGTACATGCCAATATTCCCAGCAGCACCTGGGAGGCTGAGGGAGGAGGATCACTGAGTTCAAGGCCAGTCTGAACTACATAGTGAG